AGAGGGCTCTTGTTGATTTGCTGGCCCGCCTTCACTTACGGCGGGCACTAGGCTTGCTGGGGCCTTAGCCCAGAACATGTACATCATGGCAAGGCCCGTACTTGAGGGCTCAATCCTCACATCATGGTTAGCAGTACCATTAATATCGAAGACTTTTCTGCAGACAGTCTGAAGCAGAATGTGGATTGAGTTCGGTTAATCCCATGTAACAGGTTAGAGTGCAGACTTAGAGTGCACTGTTGCTTTTGTGGCGAACAGCAATTGATAGAGGTGGAGAACAGTCCGTCAGTAGCGTGGGGAAGGGACGCATTGCATTGAGTATTTTAGGCGCCGGTTGACACCATCGACATGCACTCAATTGAGGACATAGACAAGCCCAGGGCAATGGAATCGACTGGGGGAAGCAGGGAAATCTGTATTCTATTTGACGGTTTGGCGAGCATGTTATCTTTGTGTGTGCGCTGCTCCCCCTACTTTTCACCCCTCCCTCCCTCTGCTCTCCCTTCGCCAACACCAATATGGAAGAAAGTGCCTGCTGACACATGTCAAGCAACTCAATTGGGGATTTGATAAATGACAGTGTGACACGTATCGTAATAATTGAGAAGTGTGCATGTTGGATCTGACATCGAGATTGGATGGGTTGCTGTTTGCAGCTGAATCTGGCGCTCGTTTGTATGTCAGTTGCCTCGTATTTCGCGATTTGGTGGACGAGGATGTGGCACAAGCGTATGGGATTGATCCAAAGGTCTATGCGGACAAATGCATATGCATTGTCTCCAAGTGGCCGTACTTGCAGGTTTTCCGAGAGGCTCTGGAGGAGATCCATCGGCTCTGCTATTCTCCTGGGGGTTGCAGGTGAGTAACTTGACCTCCGCTATGGTTGGACCGCAACTGACGCTTAGGGGCCCAAAGAATTCTGAACAGCAATGACACATGGTAATTGCCGATTGGCCGTCATCTTGCACATGTAGCAACCATTGATGAGAAGCTTCTGCGAACATGATGCAATACGAGAATAGACCCATAACTAACTCGTCATGTAGCCACGGTATGCATCAGGGAGGAATGTGCTATATTCCAGGTGGTTGATGGCATGTGTGGTACTGAAAGCAATTGTGCACGCTCTCGAGGTCCGCAAGTGAATGAAACCGTATGATGCTGGTTGGAATGGTAGTCTAGTGTGTTTCAAGGAGTAGTAAAGCTCCCCTTTGCCTAGTAAATAAGCCTCTCAAAATTATAAGCATCTGACTGAAATCAGAGTGTGTGTGCAAAGATCCATAGTGTGGGTTTGCATTTCTCACGAGGCGAGTGTGATTGAAGACTGAGAAGATGATCTTGTGGGCTGGCCTCATAGGTCAATCTGAGTGCAGCCGATCTGCTGTGTGTCCCCTTCGTCTGCCAGGGTGATCTTTCTTCTTTTTCAAGGGATTCTGTGAACGTGTGCATTCAGAAATAGAAAACAGAATCAATAAAGGAAAAAGGGGCATACCAAACCATATCTGTTTTTGTGCTATGATGATTTCCATGAAATTACAAGAACCTACACAAATTAATTCAGAAGGCTGCTTTCCATTTCGAGCGTCAATGGATGCATCGGCCATGTAGATGATCTCTGCATTTGCCCGCAATTCCGTTTCTGATTCATTGCTGGCACATAAGGATGACAGCATACATTATGCAAGGAACATGAGTATGGACGAAGCACAGAAATCCAGAATGCAAAATCACACTGAAGTCCAAGTAGTCAAAGCCAACGCAGATAGTACATGGAATCGAGTAACCATCCAATTGAGAACGATACAGAAGAATCGTGAGTCAATGTCCATGCCCAACAGGGCAACACCAACAGCATAACCCAAATGTAGCTCTCTCTTGTGAATGGCGCCAGGCGCCCTATCTACTCTACAGCCTATCCTACAACTACAGCAATGAAAAGCAACCAGACAACTTGACTACCAGCGAGTGATGATGTCAACACCAATGCCGACCTCCACCTCCACCAGGTACGTGTCCTCTTCCCCGCACTCTCCCTTGTCACCCACACAGCGCCCTTCACCTCCGAAGTACCACCTTCGCCCTCACCTCCCCTGCACCCTCATGCGGCCCGGCTATGGCCGCCAATGCCCTTCGTGCAGGCAGCGCCCTACCGCCTAGCGCCGGCCTGCTTGCTCTTAGCGCAGCACACATGCATCCGCGCAGCGTGCCCGCAAGTGCCAGCATTGGCCAAGATTCCTGCCCACTCGCCCTGCTTGCCTATATGCCAGTGCAGCGTGTGGTCGGCCTTCCTTCAGCCTGTGACCGGGGCCCAGAGGCTGAAGCCTACCCGATACAGTTGGGCCCCGGAGCAATGCAGTTGCGCCTCTCAAGGCCTGCGGCCAGATTCAGATAGTGGGCCGATTTCCCTTTGGCATTTTCAGCCTCTCTACCCAGCATGCATTGTCGGCCTCACGTTCGAGTGCCCAGGGCCTAACTAACTCAGAGGCCCTGGGCATTTCAGCATTTGCTGAAATCCGAGACGCGGTGCACTCCAACTAACTGGCGTGCTGCAACTGTATAGACCCCACTTCGTGAAATGTTGGCATAGAGGGCTCTTGTTGATTTGCTGACCCGCCTTCACTTAGGGCGGGCACTAGGCTTGCTGGGGCCTTAGCCCAGAACATGTACATCATGGCAAGGCCCCTACTTGAGGGCTCAATCCTCACATTCCATCCCCCTTAGCTTCGAAAGTCCGCTGAGATGCTTACTTCGCAGGTGCCTTCCCTTTTAGCTTCCGTTCATAATTTGCCACCACCTGAGGAGCTGTTTCCATCAGTTCCTCCCGGGTAAACCACCGATCTTCTTTAGGATCCGTATGATGCCTGAATCTGAACCGGTACTCCCTCTTGGGTTTAGGAGGTCTTCCTCGACCCAGCGGCTTCGGAACAGGCATATCCCTATGATCCACAATGTCGTCGATCGACTTGTCCATCCATGGTTGGGGGCAGCATCGATCTCCTGGAAGGGAATTGATCAGTCTCAGCGAAAGGTGCAAGCTTTGAGGCATGAAAGACTGGGTGAGTGCGTAGATGACCAGGGACACGAATGACGTACGTAGGACCATCCATTTCATTTCCCACTACATCCAAGACTTCCCAGGGACCAAAGTACTGAGGCATTAGTTTGCGAGATATTCCGAATTCCTGTCCTAACTCACTAGCCTTGACCCAGACGCGTTTCCCTACCTGAAATGTGGACTGTCTGCGATGTTGATTCTCAGAAGCAATCATGGCTTGCTGAGCTTTCTTCATATGTTCAACAGCCTCTTGCAGCAACTTCTCATATTGCACACCGTATTCAAGTGTGCCTGGAGTTGCAGCAGGTCGGTTTTCAGGTAGGATGAAGTCTAATGCTGATCTAGGCTTCCATCCTAAGTGCAGCTGGTTAGGACTGACGCCGGTACTGCTATGTATAGCGTTGTTGTACAGGCTGGCGATGAGAGGTAACTGCTCATCCCAGTCATCCTGGCTGGGCTTGATGTAATGCCTCAGCAAGTGCTGTACAACTCTATTCATCTGTTCGGCTTGTCCGTTGGCTTCGGGATGATTCCCTGAAGTCATTTGAAGTTGACTGCCCATCTGTTCCGCAGTCTTCTTCCACAGCTCACTTGTAAATCGGATGTCTCGGTCACTAATGATGGTYTTTGGTAAACCAAAGTCCCTTACCCAGTTGTCCTTGGACAACTTGATGACGTATTCTGTCCTGGCTGTCTCTTGCGTTGGTATTAGTCTAGCGTACTTGGTGAATCGGTCAATGATGACGAAAATGTGCCTCTTACAACTCTTGCTGGTCACAAGAGTGTCCATGAAATCCATGGAAACACTCAATCCTGGACCATCAGGAATAGGTAACGGCTTCAATAACCCAAGCGGTGCTCGAGTTCGCGGCTTGTCCCGCTGACAGACCTGACAGGTCTCAACATAGTTCTTCGCGTCATCTAACATTCTGGGCCACCAAAATCGTTGTACCAAGTTAGCACTCGTCTTCTTGTAGCCAAAGTGCCCAGTTGCGTCATGACATTCTCCTAAAAATAAACTACGCAACTGTTCACTAGATGGAACTACCAATCTCTTTACTCCGGCCTTATCAAGATAGATTAGCCCATCCACCATCACAGACTCACTTTCTGTGGCCTTGTCTTTTGCCTGAAGTTTGCGGATGATGTCCATCGTGACAGGGTCTTCCTGATAGGCTCCCACCAATGATTGAGTTACTTCATTAGATACGCGAAACTCAGAAACTAGCGCACCTAGGTAGTCTGCTCTATGGGATAGCGCGTCTGMAACCTTGTTGTACTCTCCCTTCAGGTACTCAAGCTYGAAGTCATATTGGTCTATGACCTCAATCCATCGCTTGAGTGCATCAGAAAGAGACGGTTGAGTCTTGATCCATTTGAGGGTCTGATGATCAGTCCTCAGATAGAAGAACCTTCCCAAAAGGAAGTGTCTTCAATGGACAAGTGCCTTGTAGAGAGCATAGAGTCCCCTTTTGTAGGTGGACTTAGCCAACTTCTTCGATGGCATCTTCTTACTCGTGTACTAAATCGGTCTCAACTTTTTCCCATCCTGCTGAGCCAGCACTGCGCCAATGCCGTATTGGCTTGCGTCAGTGGTCACTATGAATGGCTTCTGCAGATCGGGAACCATGAGGACCTCATGATTCATGAGTGCATGCTTCAATCTCTTGAAAGCACCCTCGCACTCATCACTCCAGTCCCACGGTGTGTCAAGTCGAGTTAGATCAGTCAAACGAGAGGCGACTGTAGAATAGTTATTTACAAAGTTCCTATAGTAGCCACACATTCCTAAGAATGATCTGACCTCAGTGACTGTCTGAGATCGTGGCCAGTCTCGAATACTAGCCACCTTCGCATCTTCCGGCTTAATCCCCTCCGCGGATACTTCATGACCCAAGTATAGTACCTTAGTGCGGCCAAACTCGCACTTCTCTAAGTTGACCTTATACTTGTGTTGTCGTAGGAGTGAGAGTAATGTCTCAACATGTTGTGCGTGCTCCTCGGCAGACTTGCTAAGGATCAGAATCCGGTCTAGATAGACTAAGACAAACTTATCTAAATGGTCATGGAAGATCCGTGCGGGAACGTACCCGGCGCATTACAAAGACCGAAAGGCATCACTACAAACTCATACAGACCATATCTAGTATGAAAAGTTGTCTTGTGTTGGTCCTCAAGTCTTATTGCGATCTGGTGATATCCAAATTTCAAGGCTATCTTTGTATAGTACTTGCATTCCTGCACCCTATCCAATAGGTCGTCTATGCGAGGTAGAGGTTCTGCGTTTTTCACCGTGAATGCATTGAGGCCCCTATAATCAATGTACATCCTCAAAGTACCCCCCTTCTTTGGTACGAATAACACAGGTGATCCGTAAGGGRAAGTACTAGGCCGAATCCATCCCTTCTCTGTCAGCTYCTTGAGTTGCTTCCGAAGTTCATCTAACTCGGCAGGGGCCATCCTATAGATCCTTCCCTTTGGGGTCTTACTCCTTGGAATGATTTCTATAGCGTGGACGACTTCCCTATCAACAACTCGTGAGGGCTCCTCGAACAGATCGGAGAACTTAGCAACGATGCTTTCTATCTCTAGGGGTGTTTTAACGGCCTCCCCCTTCTCAGAGACGGAAAGGAGGTACATACCTTCCTCTTGGTTTTGCTTGTAGTAGTTATAGAACGCTCATGCACACAAGCAGCCATAGGTATCTACAATAATGCTGGCCTTGAACTTTGTCAATCTGACAGTTCGGCCATCGGGCAACTTATGCTTAAGCACCTTCTTATCCCAGTCGAACTAGGGCTTA